GTGTATATTGTTCATGCTCTTATTAGCTTAGTGCTGAGGGCAGAGTAAAGAGATAATATATGTATTTATTGAACAATGGAATAATGAGTACAAGTTATTTCCTTATTTATAACCAAGTTCAGAAAGTTAGTGACCCTAGTTAGCATGCAGTAACGGTAAACCAGATATACACATTGTTGATAGTGTAAAAACATCAAAATGTAAAAAAAACAAGGTGATGATGTTGCAAATTTTATCCAAGTTAGCAAACAGAAATGCTCATTTAAATTATTTTTAGAGGAGAAGAAATTTGTATCTAAGAACTAGTCAGCAGATACTTTTATTAAAAAAAGCTATTTATGCTTTTATAAGAAAATTAAAAAGCATAAATGAAAAATTGCTTTTGAATAGCAGCTAAGACCACAGACTGAAGATCATACATGACAGCTGCAGAGCAGAAAGCAGTAATCCGAATTATGGCTTCCACAGGACCACCTCCTACAGGATATGGCAGGTCCTTATAAAGAGGACAGTGGTAGTGGACAGAAGCCAGCAATTCAGAGAATAGAATCCCTGAGAAGGAAGGGGCTGCCTTTGTTAATTGAAGACTGAATTGACGTAGGCAAATTTCTGAGAGAATGTTTGACAATGTCAAATGCGTGTGAGGAAAGAAGCCTGATATTGGAGACTCAGCTATTCATGAGTCAGAGTTAAAGAGAGGAAAGTTTTTAATTGCACTGGAATGCCTTCTGTCATTTGAAACGAGCTGGATTACACAGTTTCTAAATAATCAGATGGTAAGCCAAACCTATGGAAAGACTTTCAACCTTTGGTTAAAGAAATGAGCACAGGCCATTTAGAGAAAATAACGAGGATGGAATGAGATTTTCCATGACACAAATAGAACACAAAATAATTTAAAATGAAGTGAACAGCAGTGTTGAGATGAAGTAAGATTAATGAACTAATAGTTCAATTGAGGTTTTCTTGTGATTCGGAAGATTAAGTTTATCAAGTGAGGGCTTCAGAGGAATTTCTAGGTCATGTGATGGGATTTCAGGGTCAGATGAAAGTGAATACAGTCAAATGGCTCTCAAGTTCAAATTTAGTGTCCTAATTTCTTTTATATTTCTTCCTTCTAAGGTTTAAAAAGCCAATATTTATTCTTTCTTTATCTAGGTTGTTTTTTGCCAAGTTTTTCTTCACTTACAATTTTCTTCCATTATGATGCTCTGTCCCCTACCTCCCCTCTTTTTTTCCAAATCATTCTGGTTGATTATTTACCTTTGTGTCTTACAGAAATGAAACTGAATACTGAAGCTCACATAAAAGTTATACCTGTTATTATGTTAGGATCCAAGTAAAAAGCACTTTGATCCCAATTCAGTATTCCACGGATTTACTTACACTTTAAGTGTACAATATTATTAAAAAAGTGTACAATATTGTACAAAGTTTTTTTTATTACTTTATTTTTATTTGTCACTAATTCATGTATAGTTTATTCACCTATAAGCTGTTTGTATCCATAAATTAAGAAATAGAAGATCTTTTTGTTTAAGATTTTATTTGTTTATTTGACAGAGAGCAAGAGCACAAGCAGGGGGAGCAGCAGACAGAGGGAGAAGCAGGCTCTGCACTCAACAGAGAGCCCGATGTGGGCCTTGACCCCAGGACCCTGGGATCCTGACCGGAGCCAAAGGCAGATGCTTAACCGACTGAGCTACCCAGGCACCCCTAAGAAATAGAAAGTCTTGAGAAGTAACCCTAAAATCTGTTTCCTCTCAAATATCTTCATCCCTTGAGAAATAGGTTACTGGTAGTAAATAACTATTTTCTCCCAATTATACATCTTCTCACTACCTCATAAAACACACAAACATTGGCACAGAACAAGATAATGTAGTACGGTCTTAAAATGATTTTTTTTAAATTTCATTTTGTTTTATTATATGATTTTTTTTGGTGGAAACCAAAAATCATCAAAACTTCTCCAGTTGTCTCCTGAATCTTTTTTGCATTCTGAAATTGAATAAAAATATCTTCTTCATAGCCAAATGCAATATAGGTCTTACTGATTGTTAGTTTATGATAAGACCTGACAGAGCAGCCAGATTTTTTAAAAAACGTTGCTCTAAAGAAGAATATTTTTGTCTACTAAGGTGAATATTTAGAACACTGAGTGAAAATCGCAAAGGTCAATGACCAGTATAATCAAGTTGGAGAGGCAGCTTCGACTAAATAGAACATTTAATAGAACAAACTTTCATGGTTTACCATTGACTTATAAAGACCTGTCAGTTAATAATGCATCAAGACAGTTATTCCTGTATGCATAACATGTCTACCTGTGCCAATTCAGGAAGCTAGTACTGAGAAGAGAGAGCCACCACTTTTCAGGTCATGTTGAAAGATCCTAATGAGGGGTGCTGGGGTGACTCAGTGGGTTAAGCAGCCAACTCTTGGTTTTGGCTCAGGTCTCATTATCTCAGGGTCCTAAGATCAACTCTTGCATCTGAGCTCGGCACTCAGCGGGGAGTCTGCTTCAGGATTCTCTCTCCCTCTGCCCCTTCCCCCACTCTTTCCCTCTCTCAAATAAATAAATAAATCTTAAAAAAAATAAAAAAGGAAAGAGCCCAACGAACTGTAAGATCTCTTTAAAATGAAAACCTCTTACAGATGAAGAAAGGCAAAAAAGTTGAAGAAAGGCAAATGTATTGTTTGTAATGTTTTATTCTTTGAGTGTCCTGAAGAATGAGGTATATACCTTTAGAAAAATGTCAGTTTCTTGGTTTTGGAAAGCTTCAGAGAGTTCCAGTTGAAACTCAAAGATATAACTCAAAGATATATATCATTAATTTGTTTTCACATAATTTGAAAGTTGTAATAACTTTTCAAAATGAGAAATCTACTGGTATCCTAATGTCTAATAAGATTCATCAACTCATCCAACAGATACATTTAGAAAAACTTACTATCTTGCAAACATGTTTATTCGCTAGAATATTTTTTTACTTTTCTTTCTCTAGAAGGAGAAAAAAAAGTTTATATATATATATATATATATATATATATATTCTATATACTAGAAGGTATATATAGCACGAAATTAGTGATTGGGGATTTAAGAGCAGCATCAATCACTAGGAATTTAGTATTCTTGCTCTATATTCTTATTTCAACTTTTTATTAAGTAGGAGCTTGTAATTGTGATTTATTCCTGCTCTAAGCTAGCTAATTTTATTTAGACCTTGACCCATGTAAATTCCTAGTGAATTACATACAGGATTTTTTTTTTTTTTTTTTCAGTTAACCACAGTGAGAGACTGTGAGAGTGACTGGTTGACAAATGGAGTTGGGAAAGACTATGTTTTCTTAAATTTGGAAGCTCTGTAACGATATTGAATGGAGATGACTTTGGAGGTGAAGTAAAGAGAACTCTGCTTTTAGGCTTCCTCTGGCCCATCTTAGAAAGCAGGCACCAACCTAGTGCTCCAGGAGGGTCCTGCCAGGAGTCTGCATCTTTCTATCTGCAGGTGACCTCATCTGTAGTGTTCCCCATTATCGGCAAATGGTAGAGTCTGCCACAAAGTCTCACTTCTTGAGAAAGTTATCAGACTTGGAGTCAAAAGCCTCTAGGCCTCGTGTAGGATCTTCAATAAAACCATGAGTGTTACCTGGAATTATTTCCTCTTTTGTGAATTAAGATTGCTTAACTTACTTATTCTGCAAGTATATGAACACTTCCTATGGTGGGAGGAATTGAGGCAGCAAATACAAAAGTGCTGACATGGGGGGTATGTGTCATTTTCTATGGAAATTGCTGTTGTAACTTTCTTCTGAGTCCCCAAAATTAAAACAACAGATATGACTTTGCTTTGTGATCTCTGAAGAACCGTACAAATCAAAGAGATTGTGGCAACTAAGTGCAGCAAGTTAAGGCTAAAAGTTGAAACTACAAACATTTATTAGGTTGACTATGAAAATAATATAAAAGATAAGTGTAGTCACCCCCTGATTATTCAGATTGGCTGCAGTTTGTGATTCTCAATGCCCTTTGATTCTCCTTCCCTTTCCTAAAACCAACTATTGAATATTTCTCTGCTCATTAACACCTGTCTGGGAGTGGGAAGGTGAAATGCTAATCAGCCCAGCCCGTTTGCTTAATCATTAGCTGCTATGATCCTTTTTCTTTTATTTTCCTGAAGTTGAGGCAGGGAAAAGTTGAAATCTTTTACTACAATGTTGGCTGTAGATTTCTAAACTTTGTGTCACCTCCCCTCTCTTTTACTGCATAGATAAATTCAGATATTTTGTTTTCAGTCGGGTATGAAAGAGAATAAAAAGATCAGGTAATTCATCAGTTCTCAAGTGTCACTATAACTTCATATTACATATTTCTTACTGGCCAGTGTTTGGAAAATCTTAATCCCCTACAAGGAAGCTTCAGGGTTTAATAGCGGCAACTTTAAGTCATGGCCCTATATAAATAACTACACTTGCTAAGTGAGTTTAGACCAATAGGGAATCAACCTGGAGAAAATGACTGAAGACTACCCTCCCCTTTGCCTCTGGTAGACATTACAGGACCCTCCCCACACCAAATAAGGGAAGAAGAATGTTCTGAGCATTAAGGGCACTAAGAATAAATCTGAGCTATCACAGATAAGATTACTTTCAACTCCTTATTTCGTGTTTTCTGACATAGACCCCAAGATCTGTAATTACCTTAAGGGGACTGCGGGGGCTTTGACAGTACTTTTTAGTTATTTTGTTGTTGTTGTTGTCGTTTTCCCTATCTTTCTTTGGGGCTGGAGAACTGGTGTGTGTGTGTGTGTGTGTGTGTGTGTGTGTGTTCCCCTAGAGTGCCAAAAAAAAAAAAAAAAAAAAGAAAAGTGCTGAAGAGTCCTAGGGAGATGAAGCTATTTTTGTTCGAAGCTGATACTTCTGCCTGAGCCACAAGCACAGCTTGGAAAGGGCTCAGGTTGTTTCCAGGGGGAGAACTCTGCAGAGAAGAGACGAAGTTCAACAGGACAATAAAAGAGCAGCAGAAACAGCCAAGAAAACGAAGAGCCTTCACGTTTTTCACACAGAGCCCCCTATCAGAGTTCTCGAATTCTAAAGTATTCTGCAAAGTGCCACTTGACCGGAACTTTTGGCCTGCCTTTTCCATTCTCCAACCACCATGACTGAGATCACTGCTGAAGGTACTGCTACCATTTTCCAATAGTACCAATAGGAACAAAAAGGTGGAAATCAACAGTGACATTGACCGTCAGGTTGTCGACTTAAATGTTGCTTTTAGATACTTGTCTTGATCAATGATTCTATACGGGATTGGAGAAGTGGATTTGGGAGCAGAGAGGCTGATAGATCTGTGTGTTGGGGGAGAGAAGGGGTTTCTCTGAAATTTTGCATGGGGAAACTCTTCTCTGCTATGCCAAAGGCCCCAGTAGGTACCAGTTGTCACCCGTACCTCTATAAATAGCTATAGTCATGTAATGTAACTGCTGATATCTTACCTTGCAAAAATTACAAGACTTGCAAGGATAGAGACCAAAATGAACTTAAAATGTTGCATTTAATGTTTGAATGTAGAAAAATTATTTTGAGCATTTTTGCCTTATGATATTTTAAAATGGAGATCTTAAATTTGTTTTTCCTTTCTAACTTCAGTGTATAAATATGCACACACACGTATGTAAGATTTAAGATGTAAGTGCTCCCACAAAATTTGTATATATTTTACTATTGGTAGATATACAGAGACAAAGTTAGAAATGCACAGAATGTAGATCAATATGATTTTAAAAATGAAGCAATTTGAATTCTGATTCTTTTCACACACCCCATGTCTCTTTTACCTCTATCTGATGAACTCTATCTTTCTATTAAAGGAAATATTTTGTTTCAGTGCTTCCTCTGAAAAGGTTTATGCCATAACTAAAACATATTTTTTTAATTATTTGATCATGGTAGCAATTGTTTCACCTATATATAAATATGCAAAATATATGTAAATATAAAAATGTATGTATATTTCTTAGAATGAAAGGACCCTTTAAACAACTAAAGCATTTTGAATCCAGACACAATCCAGTTCTAGTGAGGTAAAAATCTGGGAGGCGGATCTAAAATTTGCTTCTGACAGCTATAAGAAAATCAGACAGGTGGTGCTCTCATCAGCTTCCAAGTTGAATGCTGCTCTGGTTTGTTTTTAATTAGACAACTGAAAAATAGAACATGTGGTTTTGGCTCTTTGCATAGATGTTAGTATGGACACACAGTGATTTCGGAGTTGGAGATTTTCAGTCAATATTTATAAGGAGAAATGTCTTACTTGTACCTTCCACTGAGAAATTTAGTCTGGCACCCCAAATTGATAAAAACAGTTACTGAGAGATTTCTGTGTATCAGGTGTTTTGCTCAGGACTTTGCGCTATTTACTTACTTAAACCTCATACAATTCAATTAAGCCGGCATTATTATCTCCATTTTGCAGAAATAGAAACTGTAACTCAGATGTTCGGTGACTTGCTCAAGACTATGGCATTGCCAAGATTAGAAGCCAGCTCCCTTAGATCTAGTTTGTGTTATTTCTTTTCTGTAAGAGGATATCAGGTTTACTCTTTACCAACTTTAGTTCAGAATTTGCTAACTAAATATAAATAGCATTTTTTCCCATTCCTTAGATATTCTGTGTCATGTGGTCGTTAGTTTGTCTTAAAGAGAACTATCTTTAACCAGCTGCTTGCTTAGCCCTGCACAAGTTAGTAAGATACCTATGAATGTGTTTCCCTCCCTGTGGACCGGGTGTGGGCATCCAGCCGATTCAGGAGGTCATGACCAAATCATGTTTGGTTTGCTTGTGGATTATTCTCTGTAGAACTTGGCACTTGATTCATAAAATGTTTTTACAGGAGAATTCTTGATTATGAAATAGAACTTTTGTTTCTATCTTCTCCCTGTGGAGCATCTAAAGGATTCTCGCAAGACCTCTTGGAGTCTCCATAAAAATCATTGAATTAGTAATAAAGGGTAAAAAAACACCAGCTAGTGAGGGTCATTTCCTGCTCCTTGGCCTTTACAGTTCATAGGATCTATGTCATCTGAACACCAATTATGTACTTTTTTCCTTTTCGGGAATCATTTATTAATCATATTTCTCAAATGAAAATTAGACTGCCAACTAAGAACTGAATTTTTAGGGTTAGCACCTCAGTCATTCTCTGGGGTTATCCAGAGCTTCTGGCACACTTCTCTCCTACACACTTTTCATTTTGTCTTTATGATTCTCACTTTTTTGTGTCCCAGCGTCAATAGCTTTCTTTTGGTCTTTTGTAAGGGGTATGCTTTTGTACAGAACTTTAGTACATGTCATTCCCTTCGCCCGGAATAGTCTTTCCTCTCATCTGCTGTATTTCTTTTGCCACCACTTTGGGGCACATTACGAAAATGTAAGTACTGCATCAGTAGACTGTGACATCTACTGATGACTCTTCCCATCCATTTATCACAAAGCAAACAAATGCTGTATAGCAATTATGAAAGGTAGAGCTAGAGTATCCCCTTAGAGAGTTCTAGTCCACTGTCCTGACCTCCACTGTTGGAAAACTGAGGCTGATACAGATTAAATGACTCCCCCATGGCCATTGATAATTAGAGGAAGTCTGAAGATACAATTCATGTCTCCTGTGGCTTCTCTCAGTGCTTATTCAACTATAACCACAGCACACATTGATAAACCTTACCAAGTTCTTTTTTTTTTATTTTTTTAATTTTTTATTGTTATGTTAATCACCATATATTACATCATTAGTTTTTGATGCAGTGTTCCACGATTCATTGTTGGTTCATAACACCCAGTGCTCCATGCAGAACGTGCCCTCCTCAATACCCATCACCAGGCTAACCCATCCCCCCACCCCCCTCCCCTCTAGAACCCTCAGTTTGTTTTTCAGAGTCCATCATAAACCTTACCAAGTTCTTTACATAGATTACCAGTTCATGTTCCAAGCCTGACTACTTCATCTGACAGATCAAAGGAAGTAATGCTAAATATGGAATTGTGTTTCAGGTACAGAGCCATAGATGAAGTAGAACTAGGACCAAGTTGAAAGCCAAAGGATTTTAGAGAAATAATCTCTTTGATTCTGGCCATGATGAATTTATAAAGATAATTACAATGACAATTATCATAACAATTCACATCAAAAACTAATGATGTACTATATATTGGCTAATTGAACATAATAATAAAAAAGAAATCTAAAAAATAGTAATAATAACAATTCACATATATTGAGAAGACATTAAATGTCAAGCACTGTATGAAGTTTGTTACACGATCTATACATTATATAGATACTTTTATCATTGCTATTCATAGAATAGGAACTTGAAATTTAGAGAGGTTAGGGATTTGCCTGAATTCACACAGCTATATAGAGTATAGCTAAGATTCCCATCCAGATCTCTGTCTGAGTCATGTTGACTACTTCTCCTTGCTGTGTGAGACTAATAGTTAGCTTGCTGTTACTTCAGAGGCTGACAGGGGTCTACCCTAGGCCACTGTTCTGATTTGGCCCATGCTAGATTGAGCAAGTTGGATCAGGCCACAGACTGGATCAAACTCAAAGAGTGCTAGGTCTAGGAATATAAATAGCCTTCTACCTTCTTTCCAGAGGCTATTTCTAAACAAAGCCGCCAAAGTCAGCTCCCCTTATGAGTTTTATGTGAACTTGCAACCACCAAAAAAGCATCTATTTGACAGCATACAGCACTATGCAAAAATACCTTTGGAGTAATTTTTATAGTTATTTTTTTAAACTATAGTTAATTCTTAATAGCTTGTTGAAAAGATAGAGACTTTTTTAAAAGCTGATAAAATTTGTAATTTTTTCAAATTACCAAGGTAACTAACATACAGTCAAATTATGCTTTACAATAACATCTATGTAACTGTGTTCTCTGGGTCCAAGGATCTCCAAAAGAGAGGGAAGTACAAATTTCTACATAATAGATTCAAGTTGGTAAAGATCTCATATATAATTAACTGGTAATTTACTGGAAAACTTAGTTAAGGGTAATTTTTAAAAAAAAATTAGGTCAAACTCTCAACTTCTAAACTCCCAACTTCTAAACTATTATATAACTTCAGGATTCAGGAGAAGGTTTATCATACCATATATGGGATTGTTTCCTCACTATTAGCTCAACCATGTTTTACTGCTTCTGTAACAAACCTGTGGAAGGATTTGATATTCAAAATGTAGAGCAAAAATGGTAATTTATTTTACACAATGCACTACTTCAACAGACTGTATAGCACATGAGCTCCAATTGTTGCTCTCAAGAAAAAAAGATCGAGATTCACAGCCAGACTAATTAACTATGCACACAAGTTATGTCACCTAGAGCAACAGATGGTGGAATTAAGAGAAGGAGAAGATCCAGCCTACGTATTTCTGTCTATCTTGCTAAAACTGAGGGGCTATTCTGGCCCAAGTCGAGACAACTTGGGTTGGGAGGAGGAGAAAGTACTAGGTTCAAGCCCTAATCACTTACAAATTATGTTCTCCTGTTCAAGAAAAGCAATACCCCACATCTAAAATATCATTTTTAGTTCCACAAATACATTTGAAAAATTGACATTGACAAGACAATATATTTGGAGAAGGACCATGATTGTAAGAGGCACAGTTAAATGAAAAGACTTGTGCATAGGTTGTTTAAGGAGAAGATCGGGTTTCTTTATATGCAGCACTCGGGGACAAAGTGAAAACCCATAGATAAAAGTCTAGAAGCCACAAAAAGGCAAACTCTTGGCAAAATATAACACAAAGCCTGACCAACCATTAAAATGATAGCTAGAACTAACTCTTCTGATTCAAAAACAAAAAACAAAAAAGGAAAATACATAAGTAGAAATAAAAGAAAAACAATGAAAAGAACACAGTCTCCAATTTTCAAGAAATAGGTGGATGGAGAATATTTTAAAGAACTACATCATAGCATGCAATCAGCAAAATCCAGGCAGGCTATGGGAACCGTTATGGTACAAACAACCCAGTTCCTTCAAAGAAGTTACTGGAAACAAAAAGATGCCAAGGAAACCTATAGATAAAAAGAAATGTTACCCATCATAATGTGTAAAATTAATAGATCCTGATTCAGACAACCTTAAAAATTTCAATGAAATAATTGA